GAAGGGCGGAGACGGGGCCGCGGAGGGGCGGCGACGTGGCCGCTGAAGGGCGGCGACGAGGCCGAGGGGAGGGGGGGACGGCGACGGGGCCGCTAAGGGCGGCTACGGGGTCGCGGCTCGGCGGCGACGGGGCCGTAAGGGGCGGCGACGGGGCCTTAAGGGGCGGCGACGGGGCCGTAAGGGGCGGTCGCGGGGCCGTGAGGGGCGGCGACGGGGCCGTAAGGGGCGGTCGCGGGGCCGTAAGAGGCGGTCGCGGGGCCGTAAGGGGCGGCGACGGGGCCGCTAAGGGGCCACGCGGGGCCTAGAGAGGGAAGCGACGGGGCCTGAGGGGCCGCTAAGAAGGGCGCGACGGGTCGCTAAGGGCGGGACACTAGGCGTGCTTCGGGCAGGGGCGGCACGCGCCCCGGGTAGGAAAAAAATCTTGGTGGGCCCTAGGAACAGTTCCCACGAGGGAACCTGCTCGATACCATGAGAAACTTAGAACGAGAATGCATTGACTAAGGAATGAAAGTGATACAAATATGAAACCCTAGAATTGTGTACCCCTTAGTATCTAACCCGCTACAGCCTACACAGGCTAGATCATATAAGTTTGACAGGAAATTGGGAGGGGGGGGTGCTCCAAACAGAAACCAAAACTTGGATTAAGGGGAAGGCCCAAACGAGACCCTTAACTGTCACGGGTGCCATGCCTATCTAGCACTTCACACGGTCGAGCTGCTCCAAGTGGAATCCGGAACGTTCAGGGCATTAAGGGCAAATGCCCTTTCTTCTTTAGGCCTGGAGAGAGCACAAGTTGTGGAACTTGGGCGCTTCTTCCAACCTGTCACTCTTCTACGAATTTCAGCAGTGATAGTCGCAATCAGTGGTTACATTCGCAGTGGAATGTTCCACGCAACTTTTAGGACGTGCCACATTTGCAACACCGATCCTTCGCAGGGTCGGTGTTTCGCGAGATAGTCTCGCGACTTCGCTAATTCAAAGTTATATGGTTTCGTTCACCATCGCGAGCGGGCAGTAGCTTGGTGACGACGATCATGTCCTCGCAGAGTCAGGCGATCAATCGTGCAATTTTGTCCACATTGGGCAATTTTGCCCCATATTCGTGTCATTTGAGACTTGCGGTGGGCCCGCGATTGCAAATATGCAGTCGCGGCACACCGATGTGGCGATCGATTTGGCATGTTCGATGAACATCGCCGATCCTTCCTCGGTATTTGAATTGTGACGAGTCTTAAGGACGTGTTACAGTTCGCCTCTTATCTGCTGTGATCTGGTCGAGGCTGATCTGATCGGGTTGCTTCTGATTGTATTGCTCGCGCCGCCCGATCAGACCAGATATTCCTTAAACATTTAGTGAGGGTGCATGCCAAGCATGCAACCCTTTCCTGGCACTTTCGGGTCCACTTTGGCGAGGGCGAAGGCCTAGCCATGGATCTAGCGATGTTTGCAGTTTCCCTGTAACTTCGCATAAACAAGGGAAATGGAGACGCATCCAGAAAATTCTTGACAGGGTGGTTAATTGAGCTAAATCGTCACGAAATCTAGAACAACACCGTTACTTTTCGTAAGCGTCGCACGATACCCCAAACCAAGTTAATCAACTGATCGTCGGTGATTGTGTGGGGTTGTGTTTGATTGGGCTGTTTGAGGCGGCTGATCGAGATCAGCTGATCACGATCAAGTGATTGCCCCCGATTGCTCGAAATCGTGATCCTAGCTTCCCAGAAGTTATTGATCGACTCTGATCGGGGCAATCAGAGGCGAGCCGTAACACGTACTTATAATCTGCCACAGTCGTTCGCGCAGAGATTCGACGTCTTGCCGCGCCGAGGGTGGGGCAGGGGATTCGTTCACCTTCCATGACCCACGACCGTGAGCTGTATTGTTTGTTCCATTCGTTTACTTTCCTCTTTCCTCCATCCCCTCCGCTCGGATCGGGTCTTCCCTAGACGGTCCAGATTATCCGGTTCGATGCGATCTAGTCGGTTGCGCATCGGTCAAGTATTGTAGTCGTACCGTTCAACACAAAAGAATAGCAAATGTAGTAAGGGCGTGAGTCCTTAGCGGGCTGAGTTCGAGATCAAGTTCAAACTTTTGGTGGTAACTCGTTTTGCTCATCTCGCCATTCTGGGTTGCGAGATTCGTCAAAACAGGTTAAAAAGTTGGAACCAAATATGGACACTGAACTAGAGTCGAGTTTCCGTTCGAACGTGTGCCCGCACGTTTATGCAAACGTGTGTCCTGCTCACGTTTGCAGCTGCAGCGAAACTGGCGACACTGGCGAAAGTCATCGTGCGCGCTATCGAATCATACGTAGGTTTCATTGAACGCTATCGAATCACACGTGGCGCAACGTCAAGATGGAAAACCGGGTAACCTACGAGTCGTTTGCGCGACGCGAGCTGGTTTGTAAAAGTCGACTACCGATAGTAGACCCTTCGATGTGACATGTGATTGCCTTGAAAGGCCATGGGAATATCTAAATTTAGACTACAGTTCGAACCAAGTTCAAGTGTAAAAGGTCGAGTTAAAAAAAGCCAACTTTACCAAATCTGCAGGACACACGCCCTAAGGTCTTCGTCTAGTGCGGTGCAAGACGGTAATTCACGTTTTTGAACGATTCTCATTCCAGACAACCACATCATAAGTTGGCCTTAGTTAGCAGGGTAGTGCGACTCGTGAGCTGTATCCTGCTCCCGACTCTTTTCCGCGTGCACTGGCTTGTCCCATCAAACAACCAGACAGATCAGTACGAGACCGGAAGGAAGGTGGCAAAAATCAATGGCGGATCGAATACTAATACAGACATGCCTTACTGTTTTCTCGATAACACAATCATTCTGTCAAATCCGGAATCGTTCTCGGAAGGCTTCTCAAGTAGGTATTGCGTTAGAATAGACACCATACCCTCAAATTAGTCCGCGTTTCCATCGCCTTTTAGGTTCTCGTGCTTCTGTGCGTTCAACGCGCCCTGGCTCGAGGCGTGCGAAACACGTCGCAGAGAAAGAGCAAACGGATGCTTGGTGGCTACTAGACTGGGGTCGAACCGCCTAATTCCAGACTGCTCGAACTACCATGCTGACTTGTTGAACGGGATGGCAAATTCCACATCACAGCACTTCCCAACTACCGTCCGACGCGCGTCCTACCATGCTCAGAGGCGGCCGCATTGGCGGGAACGAAAGCCAATTATGCCGCGTCGGCGACCCCGCGGCACCGCGTCGCGTCTTGTGAGATGCGTCAAAGGGCCGTCTGGAGATGGCTTAGCGCGCAATACCCGTTGTCGAAAGCGTGCCGGCGCATTTCCGCGTGTCAGTTCGGTTGAACGAAGGGCTGTCAGGCCCATGATACGAGTATTAGTACTTCCACGAGTAGAATTTCCGATAGTAGAAATCGGTAGATTTGCGCTAACGCGATCCGACCCCGGGTCGTTTTCGGAGGCGAGTGCGACTGCGAATGCGACGGCGGCGGTTGCGTCGCGACACACCACTGCGACGTCACGACGCGTAGCGACATCATCAAGGCCGGCAGCTCGCCAGTTTCGACGTGCGACTCGAGCAGCCGTCGTCGCCATCGTCGCAGCATGCCTGCTCGCAGCGTTCGTGGTGCAGTCGAGCGACGCCATCCCGATTCGCGAGTCGCAGAGTGAGTCGCTCTCGCCATTTGCTCACCCTTCCCGCCCCTATCATTCTTCCACACCCCGCCCTGCCATCGCGTCTAGGCCTTGCCGCGGAAACGCCTCCAAGACACTCCACCGTCGCATTACCTTGAAATTGCCTGGCGGCGCGGCAGGCTTTACGTGGCGCGGCGTCAGGAACGGGGCAAACGCGCGAAGCAAGCAACCCCCTTGCCATCAATTTTTTGCTGATAATCATTCCGCCCCATCCCAATCCGCCACCCATTTTTCCGGTCTAGATATTCCCCAGGGATCGCTTAGAGCGTGATTCTAAGCCAGCGGCAGGCCGTCCGGCAAAGAGCCGCGTCAGGCGGACGGGCAAACGCCCAAATTCAACCCTTTTGCAATCCCACCTTTCGCCAACGAGCATACTTCCGCCATCCGCCCTAATCCGCTGATGAACATCCATTCCCGCCACTGTATCGTTTCCCACATTCCGGTATTCCCCAGGGGCCGCTTTAAGCGTAATTTTGAGCCAGTCCGTGCCTTCCACGGCAGGGGGAACGGGCTCTAGCGCAGCTGGCAATGGGACTAGCGGAGGCGGCGGGCAGGGGCAGGGGCAGGGAGTCGTCGAGGTGGAGGAGGATTGCGACCTTATAATGGAGATAAAGTGTGACCCGCAGGGATACGTTAAGTCACTGTATGTATAAAAGTGTTCGTCCTCTGCATGTTTGTTTCTTGTTTGTTTTTGTTTTTGTTTTTTTTCTTCTTCTTCTTTCTCTTTCTTCCGTATTGAGTGTAGCCCGGCTTGAAGATGCATAGCCCGCACTGCTAGTGTGTGTTTGAGTCAGGACTGTCAAAACACCGTCTCAGCCAGTGTTCCGATTTAATTATCTGGGTTAATCTGATCTTTTTAGGATTGCTTCTACCGCTGCAAAGCAGCCAGGTTCGATGGGATGCACTGCAAACCCTGGTCTGTCCGGCCTGATAGGTATCCCAGTCCCACCCAGCTGCAGTGCACGTGCTGTGCATCCATTCACGTAGTTGCCAGCCAGCCACACAACAAGGCAAGCTCGTGGCCGCCAAAAATTATTGTGCTCCTCAGAAGAAGCCCTTCTGTCATCCGGGTGGTTTGGCTTTCTACACATCACAGAATTCGTGAGGCACCTCGGAGTTCGATCTTTCGAGTCGAGACGTCTCAAACATACACTTCTTTCTCAGAGGTCGATCCTGCCTGAGCTCTGAGCTTAGGCGGTACACCTCAGCATGCGTGCATCCTGATAAAAGTTGGGTTTTATCACGTAGCTAAGCTTAGATGGTACACCTCAGCATGCGTGCATCCTGATAAAAGTTGAGTTGTATCACATAGCTCTAAGCTTAGATGGTACACCTCAGCATGCGTGCATCCTCGCTCGCCCGCCCAGGAATCAACCCCCCCCGCCCAAGCATGCGTCCGCTCATTCTCACCACTTTCACTGACGCTTCTCCACTTCCTTACCCTTCCCTCCTGTTCCGTCTCTCCTCCCTCCGTCTGCTTCTTTTCCCCTCTGGTGCACCGCCCCCATGCAGCAACCTCGAGTCCATGCTCTCTCTCCCTCAGGAGGTTATGTCCCTCGTGCGCCTGCAATCACTGTGAGAAAGTCATTCATTGCGCTGCCTTCTACCACTCACTGTTCGTTTCCCAAAAGGCCCCTCGAATCTGAAACTGTCTCCACAAGTGGGTTGCTTCTTTCTCCGTCCTACCCACAGCCAGCCGCAGGCCAGCCAGTTCCTCTCACATCTCATTCGGCCATCTCACCTCTGACATCTCATTTGCCCATCTCACCTCCCTAACCTTTTCAAGCAGCTCAGCTTAAATTCAAATCTGTCTCTTCCGTATTTCCTCTGATCCCCTGCTCACAGGAGTCTCGCTTCCACCACCATTCCGCCCATTCGCATGCCAAGCATTCCCTCTGTCATCGGCCAGCTCACCTCCCTCACTTCCCTGTACGATCCCTCCTCCTCCTCAACCCATCCACTTCACTGTACGCCCAATCACACTGCATTCGCTGCAAGCCGTATCGTTGTAAGAAAGAACTCAGAGCTGCAAACGCAACACCTCTACTGCTGCTGCAGTATATGTGAATGTTCACCAAGAACCCTGAAATTGATGGTAACTTCACTAAAGTTGCCTGAAACATGCACAGCCTACTAAAGTTGATGGAAGTAAGGCCTCCGCAGCCGACTTGTCCATTGTTGACAAGTCCTGTTGCTGTATACTTGAGTGAATGTTCACCAAGAACCCTATGGTGCTGGTAAATTCACTTCACCTCCTCACCTCCTCATATCCTCAGACACTCACTTCCTCATCTCCTCATCTCCTCATCTCCTCATCCCCTCAACTCCTCATATTCTCATCTCCTCATCCCCCCCCAGCCATTCCCTGCGTCTGCCAGTCCCTGCCTCTGTCATTCCCTGCATCCGTATTCCAACTCAAGCAACTGAAAATGTTCTGAGGCTGTTGTTCTTGTTCACGCGTCACCCTTGTGTGCGCCTCTCGTTTCCTCCCCCTCTCCACCGCCTTCGCTCGCAGGCAGATTTCCAACGCAGTAGCAGGGGGATCATTCCCTGCATCCCTGTCCCGACTGAAGCAACTCAAATCACTGTAAGCCTCAGATAATTTGCCTGTGATGCTCAAAGCGCTCTGAACGCAGGTCAAATCAAACCAATGTGAGGCGATGCATCCCCTAATTGCTGTCTCGCTCGCTCGCACCTTCTCTTCTCTTCTCTTCTCTTCTCTTCTCTTCTCTTCTCTTCTCTTCTCTTCTCTTCTCTTCTCTTGCCCGCTATGCTCCTCTATGCCCATCCTCTATCCACTTCCGATTCTCTTCTCCCATACACTGCCCCTCTCCACTCTTCTGACTGGTGGCACCAGGAGCCTGGCCTGGAACACTGTATTGACTTTCCAAAAATCTCAGATTTGAGCGCCGTACCTCTAATTTCTAAATGGTCACCCTAGGAGCCTGAAATACTGGATTGACTTTTTCGACATTCTGAGAGTCACAACCCTCCTTCTGAATCTTGGCACCACCACTGCCACCCGGAGCTTAGAGGGCACTACCTTGTCAACCCATTCTCCACAACCTCATTTGCATCAACTCAAAATGCCCATCTGATCTGATCTGACCCTCCTCTTTCCTCTCCCATCCGTGCTCCTCGCCTCTTAATGCTGCCACCACTAGGAGCCTGGGCGGCACTACCTTGTCTGCCACCATTCCCCACTTCTTCTCCTGCCTCACTTCCTTGACACGCCTGTAAGTGATTCTTTACGTTTAGAGTTCCATTCCATCTCTGCCTGCCGCTCCGTTGGTTCTAGTGTCTCATTTCATGTGCGCAGGCAGGCTCTCGTCCACTTTTGCGAATTCTCAAATGCTATCTTGAATCCCTGTTCAACTGCCACATCATGTGTAGAATCCCTTGCCCTTTAAGCTGCGTGCCAGCTAGCCACCTTTTGAGACGTTCAAGCAAGATTCGTCGCGCTTGTCTTCTCTGCGATGCTCCATGCATGCCATTGCCAATGCTTGAAAGACTTGGATGAGGAGCTGCCTTGCCAGCGAGCCCCATAGAAGACGTTTTCCCTAAGCACAATCCCTGGAAAAGCGTCTCTCTTGTCCTACCTTCTGCTTGCTGAGTTGAACCAGCCACCTTTGAGAGCCTCTTTTTGAGTCACCTCAAAACCAGCCAGCCCCTTTTCCGGGATCTCCTTCGGGGCCACTATTGTTTCCTTCCCTCTCAACGATTGTTATCTCTCCTGATGTTTGTATCCGCCTTTCAATCCATTCCACTCCAACCCCCGCCACCCCACTCCACACAACACCTTTCCACCGCACGCAACCCTTCTCCACTCCTCCTCTCCCCGCAGGGAACTTGCGCGGGTGGGCCTCTCCTCCTCTCTGCCCGCTGGCTTCTCGCGTCTCACCAACCTCATCATGCTGTGTGTGCGTCTGTGCTGTGCTGCTTGCTTCTTCAACCCTAACCCAAACCTTAGATCTCAAATCCCACCTCTCCATGGTTCCCCCCTACCTTTGCCCTCCCAAACCTTAGATCTCAAACCTTGCAGCAATCTCAACCTTCTCTCCTTCCTCCCTCCCCAACTTTCATTCCTGCCCTTCCGCATTCCCCTGAACCCCCTCCTTCATCCCCCCTCTGATCCGCCCCTTGCATTCTCCATCCATTCCCCCTTCATCCCCTCTAATCCGCTTCCTTTGTTCCCCCTTCACTCCACTCCCATTGCACCCGTTTGAATTCCTCCCTGGCAGCGTTCTTCCCGGCAACAATCTCACCGGCTTGCTGGCTCCTCTCGCTGGCATGAGGCGTCTGCAGCACTTGTGAGTCGAGTCGAGAGGCCATTTGAGAAAAATGCGCCATGGAGAAAGCTCGCTTCCTCCTCTCGAATCACACCATTCATCCTCTGCCATTTCTGAGGCGCCTCTCGAAGCATCCCTTGTCCCCCCCCCCCCCCCACGCACACACGCACGCACGCACGCACGCACGCACGCACACACACACACACCGTGACACCGTTCATCTTGCACAGGGGTATTTGCTCTCTGCCTTGATCACTTCCCCTTTAATTACCTCTCGGTTGTGAGAATTCTCAAAACCTGTTTCTGAGGCGCCTCTCGAAGCATGCCCTCCTCCACACACACACCGTTCATCTCCCTCCTCATCTTTCAGTGGCCTTTGCTCTCTGCCTTTCCCCCTTCCCCCTTGTTGCATTGCATCTTTCCCCTCCTCCCAAACCCCACCTTCTCCCTCCAACATCCCACCCCATGCAACACCCATCATCCTCGGCACTTAATTCACCCCTCGTTGAGTCGACTCAAAAGTCACAGCATCCTCAGCACTTGATTCACCCCTCGTTGAGTCGACTCAAAAGTCACAGCATCCTCAGCACTTGATTCACCCCTCTCTCCTGCAGGTGTGCTTCGATTCGAGTGGACTCAAGACGATATCTCCCCTCCCCTCCCCCGCAAACCCCCCACTCCCCGGCACTCAATCAACAACACCCTTCATCTTCCCACTGGATCCACTTTTGAGTCGACTCAAAAGCAAACCCCCCACTTCCTGGCACTCAATCAACAACACCCTTCATCTTCCCACTGGATCCACTTTTGAGTCGACTCAAAAGCAAACCCCCCACTTCCTGGCACTCAATCAACAACACCCTTCATCTTCCCACTGGATCCACCCCCTCCTAGTTTTGAGGCGCCTCAAAACTAGTCTTCCCACTGGATCCACCCCCCTCCTTCCTGCAGGTGCGCGCGACGTGAGGGCGGCCTACGGGGCGCGCCTCGGGCAGGAAAAAAAAGATCGAGTTAGGTGGTGGGCCCTGAGAAGCGTTCCCACGAGGGAACCTGCTCTATACCATGTGAAGAATGAGGAATGAATGAACTAGGAAGCAGGTGGGTACAAGTAGGAAAACCTAGAAATGTTGTACCCCATATAGTCTACCCCACTACAGCCTACACAGACTATAGCATATAAGTTTGACAAGTTGTACAGAAAAAAGAAAAAAAAAAGAGTTGCGGCACTGTTCTACTCCGACAAAAGCGGGCTGGGTGAAACAGCACGCGAAAAAACCGGGGCGCCGCAAGGGCAACATTGGTGCAGTTCGCTGGTTTCTCCTGACCCGGGTGTCTACGCGAGTTGACGGCGCAGCGGCGAAGCTGGGACTGGGAAGCTGTGGAGTTTTGTGACGCGATGGTTGCGGTGGGCTGCAAAACGGTTGGGCGACAGTTCCTTTTAAATAAGGGTCCCCGACTCCGATAGTTTTTGCCCCTCCACCGTAGCTGGGTTCGCGCGGGCAACACCGACTATACCCCATCCGAAAAAGCGGACGCTGGGTGAACGGCGAGAAGCGGAATTGTCGGGGGGTGAAACGGCAAAAAAATATGAAGCTGCGGGTATTTCTTCGCTTCTTGGAGTGCGGTTGAGCCGTTGGGGGACTTCGCCTGAAGGGCACTTATCAAAGTTGCCTGGCAAGAAACACAGCGGCAAGGAGACCTAGGACCCCCGGTGTTTAAACGCACACCTCGGGAAATTCCTCGGAAAAAGGGAGCGTGAGAGCAGTCGTAGGTTCGGGAACTTATCGACCGGCGACGAGCGATGCGGTGAAACATCTGCAAAGCGCTGGTGGGAGAAACGTGGTATTTTGTTAAGGAACATCAGCGAGAGTAGTTTCGACGACGGAGTCAACGGCGTTGATGCCACTAGGTTCCGTGAAATTCGATCTTGGAATAACCCAGGGGCAGTCCCCGGTTCTCGATTGAACCCACCTGCTGGGGTCGGTGAACCGACGGAAACTGATGGTGACCGAGTGGGCGGCTATAGTACGTCCGAAAATTTCGGAGGCAAACTGCAACTGCAACTGCGGATTTACGGGGTTTGATCCGAGCTCAATTTCGGAGTGTTTACGTGGGGACTTACCGGTTTTACGGCAAGGAGCGCCGACAATTTCGGAGGCTATTCTGCGTTTGGCTAAACGCGCGCGACTTTTACGTAGGGCAACACTGCGGGAACTACACGGAGTTTTCAAGGGGTACGAACGACTTACGACGAACTGAAGAAGGCGGCAGCAACAGTGGTGGGGGGGGAGAGACAGCTGCAATTTTTCATCTCTGCCGAGGAGCCCTCGGCGCATTACGACAAATTTCTCGGCGAGTGTGGACAAAGCCGCCGAAGGTGTTGACATCATCTGACACTGGATCGCGTTCGCCAACATTTTCGGAGTGCTATTTGATTTTGGTTACAATTGAGACGACCATCGCCGACTCTCGACAATCAACTCGCTACTTATCGCCTTCATCGATGACGTTTTCGCCACACCCCGATTTCACGGCCAGAGGATTTCGGGACAGGACTTCCGATTCTAATAGCGACAAATCGCCCAACTCGACCCGCCCACGACAAATGATCCGATTTCAACTGCTGCCAGCTGTAACTGCTGAAGATATCGGCTGATTCTAGCAACGTCAAGACAAAATTGTTCAGTTCGAAGATTTTTGGGGCACGGAATACTTGGTTTCTTAATCGAGTTTCCACACCGACACATTTTCGGCCGGACTTCTACTTTCATCGGTTTTCTCAGTGGGACTTAACACCTGGTTTTGTTTGTGAAAATAACGAGGAATGAAATGACTAGGCAAAATGACGGGACAAGTAGGAAACCTAGAAATGTTGTACCCTATAGTGTCTACCCCACTATAGCCTAGATAGACCATAGCATATAAGTTTGACACACCCCCATAGGCAAAGTGGGGGAGAACAAGAGGTCATAAGACCGGTCCAGCAAAGCACAGCAAGCTCAGGGTGGATCACAATGTCACCACACATTCCGAGCACACGTTCAAGGCCACAAGGCCAGTTCACATGTAGGATTATATATAAAGGTAAACAAGCAAGTGCAGGTATAGATAGATCACAGCACAAGCAAGGTGAAGAAGTGAGCAAGTGAGGCCAAGTACGCACAAGACCTAGCATCGTACAAAAGCGCTGATGATCACAAGGCTGAAGTGCCTTGGTAAAGATATCAGCAGTGTTGGCCCGAGAGGCCACGTAAGCAAGGCGCAGCTGACCACACTGCTGCAGCTCACGAGCAAGGAAGTAGCGAAGAGCAATGTGCTTCGTTCTGTGCTCCAGTCTGTGCTCCCGACACAAGGCCAGCATGGCCTTGTTGTCTACGTACACAACTGGAGGAGAACGAGGCGGCTCTCCTAGGTCAGTCAGCAGGTAGGTGAGCCAGCGTAACTCCTGTGCAGCCATGGCCCCTGCGTAGATCTCAGCCTCACAGCTGGAACCGAGAACAGAAGACGAGCGGGTAGACCGCCACGAAACAGAGCCGGCACCAAGGCTGAAGGTGTAACCCTGTGACGACCGCTGCGTAGCCTGTTCGTCAGCCCAAGAAGCGTCTGCGTGACCAGTGAGGACCACTGGACTCCGCCCTCCAAGCACGAGCCCCATGAACGACGTACTGCACAAGTAGCGCAACACCCTCTTCGCTGCAGCCATGTGCACTGGTCGGTGTCTCCCAGGAGCAACATAGCGTGCCAAGATGCTAAGAGGGTATGCAAGGTCAGGTCGAGTGCAGGTCATCAGGTACATGAGGCAGCCAACAAGCTCTGGGTACGGGCCACTCGGCTCTACGGACTCATCCAAAGGCAGAGCTGAGAGCGAGTGGCGAGTAGACAGAGGAGTGGCCTGAGGCGAGGAGTACGTGAAGTCGAAGCGCTGAAGGACCTGCTGCACCATGTGT